CTGCCCCGACATGGTGAATAGCGAATCGTACGGTCGCTATTACTCGAGGTATGTAGTTGTTTATACGGCTCGTAGTTGCATGCGTTTTTGTTTTTCTGAATTGCTACTTACACTTGCTTGTCAGGTATTTGTTGCAGGTACGCCTTTGGCGAGTTCATTGAGGCAATGGCGACTTACCTCGCAGGCCGTCAGCTCCAGGACATCAGGTCGTCGGCCTGGTATGGGCTCTCCTTCGATGAGTCTACGGATCGTGCCCGCGGCAAGCATTTGATCGTGTATGCGACTTTCAAGCGAACCGAGTCAGTGGTGACCCAATTTTTTGGGCACCTTTCTCTCACCCGATGCGACGCGCAATCAATCTATGAGACGATCATGACCTTCATCTCGGGGAAGGGCCTGTCAATGGAGAGGTTTGCTGGCGTCTCAACGGATGGGGCTTCCGTTATGACTGGCAAGAGGAAGGGAGTGGTCGCTTTACTCAGGAAGCATTGCCCCTGGCTGGTGGCTGTACACTGTGTGGCGCACAGGTAAGCGTGCAGAGCATTTGTATATTCTGTTCCAACATCACATGGTTTCTAACGTTTTCCTTGTGCCTGTGCAGGGAAGCATTGGCTGCTAAAGATGCAGCGGCAAGCTTCAAAGACTTCAATGTCGTCGATACGATGATACGCCAGACTGCGGAGCGACTCGGGCGTTCCTCCACCGACCACAGGACGTACATGCATCTGCAAGATGTGATTCTGCAGACACACCTGGAGGTGCAGGGGTTGTGTACTGTACGGTGGCTGACTCGAGGGGACGCGGTGCAGCGGTTCTGTGACGTGCTGCCCGTGCTGGTGTGGATGTGGAGCAGGGACAAGCCTGCGACGCAGAAGATCGCATGCAGCTTCAAGTTTCATTTCATGCTTTTCCTCCTAGCGGACATCCTGCAGCTACTCAACGGACTGAATCTCGCCTTCCAGAAGAAGACGGTACGTCTTGATTCGTGTCGCTCCATGTTAGTGTTGAACCGCAGTAGTCAACGTTTTATGTTCATTTGTACCTGTTCATCTATGCTTGTTCCGCTGTGCGTGTTCAACTGTGCCTCTGTGCGTATTAAACTGTGCTTGTTCAGGTTGACATCACGGAAGTGAAGAACCATGTGGACAAGGTGAAGACGAAGCTCGCGCAGCGCTATGTCGAGCCCGGCGCATCGTTCGGGCAGAAGGACTCTCGCCTGGCTAAGTTCATCGATGAACGAGGCAGCCAGGAGAAGCGTACCATTGAGATCAAGGGAGTCGATGACAGTGGTAAGCAAGCGACCACCAAGGTCACGCTCCACGAGGAAAATATCAGAGAAGGCGCTGGAAGTGACCTGGAGTCGTGCAAGGACCTTGCCAGGCGGTTCGCGCAGAACCTGGTCAAGGCACTGGCAAGAGAATGGCTGACCTGCGCCATTTTGATGGCGTCCAGTTTTTCCAGCCTGACCAGTACCCCAGAAATGTGTGCGACCAGGAACCCTGGCTCAAGACCCACCTGGCAGAGCTGCTGGACCTGTTCAAGAACCAGCTCCCTGGTAAGTGTGGGAAGCATAGTGGCTCAAGTTATTTGCCGAGGCTAGCTCAAGTTCCATCTAATTACTGAACTTACCCCGTATCCCCTTGGCAGGTATCTCGGCTACAGATATAGAGCCAGAGATGCATCTCTTCACTGCGACCCTGTTCGCGAAATTCAAGAAGCAGAGCTTTCATCAGGCTCTTACGAACATGCTCCGCACTTCAGATTGGCAGGATGATTACCCCCACCTTGTTAGTCTCTGGCGAGCTCTTTCTGTGTTGCCCCTCAGCACTGTGGAGTGCGAGAGGGGCTTCTCCAGGCAAAACATTATAAAGGCATGGGATCGTACGACTCTTACTGATGTTAAGCTGGGGGAGTTGATGACTGTCAAAATGCTGGATTATCCTGTCGACTGGGCTGAGGCCTACGCTGTTTTTGAGGCCAAGGGGCGGAGGCCTGCCACCTAGGCTTGCATGTCTTGTCAAAGATATAATGTGATGCAGGTGGTAGAGGAGCTGCAGATGAGTAGAAATGCAGTAGATAGTGCAGCTCCACTTGTAGTTGGATTGGAAGTAGTGACATGCAGGTTGAATAGTGTACTTAGTACCGAAAAAGTAGGTTTACTGTCTTCAATTCAGGATACCGTCTCCCCCCGGATATAAGCGCCACCCTAGGATAAGCGCCTGGCGCTTCTAATTGGCATATGGCGCTTATATCCCCTCCTCGATTATAAGCGCACCCCTTGAAAAAACTTGTTTTATTATAAGCGCACGTAAATTTAGAAATTTGAAATGTGTTCAAAAAGCTGTAACGATTTTTACTTTAGCAGGCGGATATGTTGCAGATTCGGTTCCCTTCACATTCGGACCCTGCACTGGATGCGGGTCCAGTCAGCAGGACCTGTCAGGAGCTGGATGTGAGTCAGATTGGGTGTATCTCCCAGCGCGCGCGAGAATTTCACAGACGATCCCATGTAACTTCGACTCGATTGAAAAGGCAAGCACGAGACCTACAGTTTGGTGTTAAAAGATATAAAAAAATATGTATGTCATTTTATAAACGCCGGCGCTTATAAATTTACTCGATTATAAGCCCACCCCCATGAAAAAACCTGTTTTATTATTGCCCCCCATGGGGGTATATCCGGGGGGAGACGGTAGGTTAGTTAAGTAGACTACACTTTGGAGCCCGGATTTCAAGTTCACTTTTCGGCCAGCGCCCGTGACCGCTAAGGGCAAAAAAATGGTCACCTCCCTGAAAATAAGGGCCGGAATTACAGCTGCTGAGGGGCTTAGGGCGCATCACCTCGGGGCTGGAAGGCCCAAATCCGAACATACGTAACGAATTCACTGTACGAACAGTTTCCCGACGAGATCCGAACACAAATTTGAACACCTTGGTGAATGTGACAGCTCGTGACTAGAGGTGACAGCCTGTTCAAACATGCGACGTCGCCAAGTGCTGGACGACTTCGCGAAACGTCGCAAAAAAATAATTCTGTCGTCTGCCATTCAAGTTTGACTCATTTTTCGCCCATCCAGTCAAACAGTCTCTTCGTGCTCTTCTACTACTGCTCACCTTGTTGTTTCCCAACAACAATGTCCTTTTTGATGAACTTTCTCCTGCATGGCGACATTTGCAATGGTCGCAAACATTCGAGTGCGACCCGAAGCCTGCTAACCAATAAAATCAGTCGTCCATGCGGAATTCCTGTCACCAAACCCAACTTTGTTCGAACAACTCTGTTCGAACGTGCGGAATGGAGAGCTTCGTGCCCCGTGTGACAACTCTGTTCAAATTCGCGAAATTTCCGACTAGACACGTCACGAACACCCATACGAGGAGTGGCGAAAAATGTAACATTTCGCCTGTTCGAACAACCGTCCTGTTCGAACTGAGAGGTGAAGCGCCCTTAAGTTTTGGCCCCAGGGCTATCGACAGCCCTGGTGTGGTCCCGGCCTGCGTGGCGCTGGCGTGGAGGGGGCTCGGCGCGGGGCCAGCCCGCCAGCCTGCTCCGCCGCCCAGATCTCGCTAGGGACCTGGGAGGGGGGGGGGACTCCCTCTCGCGTGCCGATTCCCAGCTGGGGGTCGCGACACACCGGGCATCCGCGTGCGGCCCTGGTGGGAACCCGTTTCCACCAGGAGGGGGCCCTGGTGGGATTCCTCCCACCAGGGCCCGGATGGACTGAAAGGAAACCAGAGTGTCGAGCTGGAGATGCTGAGCGATCAGCTTCAAGTGGACGGTTGGATGGCGAACAGAATTCTACAGTTCAAGACCACCTGTGGTGATTTGTGGTTCGAGATGTGATTCATCAAGAAAATAACATTTTGCAGCGTCAACAGATCCACGCCACGATCGCGTCTGCCAGCATCGATACACCGAATACCTGTTACACACTTTCGGTTCGATGCGACCGGGTACTACGCTTCAGCCATTTCTTTCACCTGCCTTCACCATCATGTCATGAGCAATCGCGTGACCTCACTTTTTGAGAGATATTTTTTCCATTTTTCGTGCGCTATAAACAACAGAACTCTAATTTATTTGGCTATGAATGAATAAACAAAAGCAGATATTAAAGTTTGTTTCTTAATTTCAATGCCAAAGTGCATATCGGAAATTGCATAATATGCGTTAATCCATGTCCTGATAAATTTTCACATGTCATACATTAAAATACAAAGATCATGAGAATAGAATGAGAAATGAATCAATTATAGCGACTCATATATTTACACTGATTGAACAAATATTAGTATATAAAGAACCCCTAGACGTTATGCATGTGGCAAAACATGAGCTACAATATTTCAAATAACAAAACTTATCTTGTATATCCAATAGTGACCGTTGATTTTCTTTTGGAGACCTATAATCATTTGTATTTGTTGCAAACGTTTCAGTACTTTCTAATCAGCTGTATAGTGCGATTGAAAAGAGCATCATTTGTACTGGTTCGGTGAGCTGGTGAGGTGGTGAACTGCTGAACTGTTGGCCAGGTTTGAGCAGGGATATGAGGTTTCAGCACGAAGATTTGAAGGCATACATGCCACCTCCTGTGTTTCGAACTGGCACAGCGGCTGTTAGGGCGTGTCACACACAGAGATTTTACACCTCATGAATTAATGTTCAGGCTGGTTTGTAGCGGTTCAGAGCGGTGAAGCGAACATAACTCTCTAGAACGTACAACACCGTTGTCAGCCGCTGTAAAAGACGGAAAGTTCATCAAGCATGGCACGCCCTTATGTGGTAAGAGCCAAATGGCTCCATGGTAGTACAGTACGACGTTGCGGCGAAAACTCCTCTTGTCACAGACCAAGGCTAGCGCCACATGTTCAAACTGAAAGCGTGTCAGATTTGGGATTTGCGTTCTTGCACAAGTAAGAGTCTCTGTCGTCCTTAGAGGACTCCTCAAGGGCACTGAGAGACGTGGAAAGATTCCTTTCGCTATAATATGGTTTAAATGATTGGCAGAAAACCTCTTAGGGCGATGCCGAGTCGGGGGGCAGTGGGAATGACTATGGCGGTGGCGGTGTGGATGGGGCTTGCGGGCGTGCTGGCGGGGCTGGTGGCGTGGAGGGTGCAGAAGGGCTTCGACGACAATCGCAAGGCGGAGCTCGACACCTGGTGCGCCGGTCGCGCGCGCTCGCTGCAGCAGCAGTTCATGCTCACCGCCGACCACGTGCAGGTACACGCCCGACCACGTGCAGGTACACGCTGGCCGACCACGTAGGTAGACGACCGACCACGTGCAGGTATAGACGCGCCGACACGTGCAGGTACTATTACTCGGAAATGTTGGGGTTTTTTTCGCTCGTCCGTTTGCCGTCGGGCCGCCGGCGCGGCGATTGGCGTGGCGTCGTCGCGAAATATCGCGGAACGGTTGTACCGTTCGGGAGCCGTACGCGCTCGTTTAAGCTCGCAATTCTCCCACGCGTTTGTTTGTAGGTCATTATCAACTAAGATTCATTGCGCTCACTGTTCAGGAGCTGCATTTTACATTTTCCGCATTTTTTAGTCTAGGTTGCGGTGCGGCGCGACCATCCAGGTTGAGCGCACGCGCGCGCGGCAGGGGCGAGTTTCGTGAGGAGCGAGTCAACGAGTCTTTACGCTCATAAATCAACCACGCTACCCACACGCAACGGCGAAAACCCTGCTGATGGCGAAAATAGGTTGGCGATTGTTACCAGCGAGGGCGGAGACACGATCTTGAGGCGATCTCGTACGTGCGAAGATAATGCAGAATCGAGGGTCGTGGCAAATTCGAGGGTCGAAGATAATGCAAATTTGGATTCACCACGGTTTCTGTCAGCGAAAGGGAGACGGGTAGGGTAGGGGAGGTCGAGTGCTGTCTAAATCGAGTGCTTTGTAGGCCACGTGCTGTACGTGCTGTGTAGGTCGAGTGCTGTGTAGGCCACGTGCTGTGTAGGTCGAGTGCTGTGTAGGCCACATGCTGTGTAGGTCGAGTGCTGTGTGATGTGTGCTGTGCGCTGTGTGAGCGGCGGTCCATCCCAGTCAGCGTGAGGAGAGGGGTCGTCACGCCACGAAATGACGCGCCCTGCCCACTCGTTCCCCCCCATGCGCCCATCAGGTGCTGGCGGGGCTGGCGACGGTGTTCGGCGGCGTGAGGACCAACCCCTGGGCGGTGGGCAGCTGTCTCACGCAGCGGCGCTTCGTGCACCTCGTGGAGCGCACAGTGGCGGCACAGCCATGGGTGCACGCCGTGGGGTACATGGCCGTCATCAACGGCTCTGACAGGTCGCCTCATACTCCCCCCTCCTCCTTCCCCCCGCCTTTCCCTTTCCTCCCCACCTTCCCCTACCTCGCCCCATTCCCCTGCCTCCTTTTCTTCCTCCGAACCGTTCCCTTATTTCTCCTTTCCCTCGTCCGTCTCTCCCCTCCCTCGCCCCTTTCTCCCCTCCCTCGCCCCTTTCTCATCTCCCTCGCTCCTTTCTTCCCTCCTTTCGCCCCTTTCCCCCCCCTCCCCCTTTCGCCCTAATCTCCCCTCGCTCGCCCTTTTCTCTCCTCCCTAGCCCCTTTCTCCCCACCCTCGCCCCTTTCTCCTCTCCCTCGCTCCTTTCTCCTCTCCCTTCGCCCCTCCCCTCCCCCTTCCCTTCGCCCTATTCTCCCCTCCCTCGCCCTTTTCTCCCCTCCCTCGCCCCTTTCTCCCCCCTTTCCCCTTTTCTCCCCTCCCTCGCCCCTTTCTCCCCTCGCTCGCCCTTTTCTCCCCTCCTTCACCCTTTCTCCCCTTTCTCGCCTCTTTCTCCCCTCCCCTCCCCTCCCTCGCCCATTCATCCCCTCCCTCGCTGCCCTTCCTCCCGTCCTTCCCCCCACCATCCATTCTCTGTCTCACATCCACGAGAGACCCAAGGTCGTGCAAAGAGAGTCCCCTGGTTTTTGTGAGGTTCCGAATAAGTGCTGTGCCATGCTGTGCCATGCTGTGTGGGAATGATCTGGCCCTCTGCAATGAGAGGACGAGCTTTTTGCAAGGGTTGTATGAAGCGTTTCAATAGTAATTCCAGCAGCTCTTGATTCTTCCCTGAACCCTGTTCTCCTCATTCTCTCCCTCTCTTTCTCCCTCCCCCCTCCCCCCTCTCTCCTCCCTCACTGCAGGGCGGCCTTTGAGCAGCAGGCGCAGTGCAAGCTGTTGGACATTCTGGGCAAGCCAGCCCCGGAGGCAGACTGGTACATGAACTCGCGCGTGTGGTTCCAGGAGAACCCGCCCATACCGCTGCTCAAGTTGACGTCCACGTGTGTCAACGTGCGCACACACCCCTCGTACGGCCCCGGGCTCTCCCGCATGCACCAGCTGCCCGCCAACCAGCTCAACATGCCCTACGTGCTGGACAATGGCGAGGCTGGCATGGGTGAGTATGGGTGAGGGAGGGGTATACATGTGAGGGCGAGTGGTATGGGCGAGTGCGAGTGGTGTGAGCTGCATGCACCAGCTGCCCGCCAACCAGCTCAGCATGCCCTACGTGCTGGTCAACGGGGAGACTGGCATGGGTGAGTGTGGGTGAGGGGGGACGGTGAGTGTGGATGAGGGGCGACGGTGAGTGTGGATGAGGGGCGACGGTGAGTGTGAGGGGAGTTGGTGAGGGCGAGGGGCGTGGGTGAAGGCGAGGGGCGTGGGTGTGAGTGTTAGTACATCTGGTAGCATGGTAGGCTACTGTGTGTGACTGTGCCCCACTTGTGGTGTGTGCGCACATGCACACACACACCCATCCCTCACACGCGCGCACGCACGCACGCACGCACACTCACACACACTCACACACATGCACACCCACCCACACGCGCGGATTGGTGGGCGAAATGGTGAGTCGATGTATCTGAGTTGAATTGGATATTCGACCCGCCCTGCCCTCCCTCCTTCGGCTCACAGCCGGCTGACCCCTTTAAGCCTGTAAGCCCGTACCCGCCTCAGTCGAGCAAAGTTGGGTCGGGTTGACATGTCCACCCCCGCACGAACGCATGCACCGAAACTAAATCACACACAAGCTCTGATCCAGCTGATTTAGAAGGTTGCCGCGCGCAACTTGGTTCCGTGCCCATTGGACCGCGGCTCGGCCCGGTTCGGGCCGGGCAGGCCGACTTTCCAGAAAAGCTGGCCCGGACCATCCTTTAATCGGGCCAGGCCGGCCCTCGGCCCGACCTGTGCTCATGCCTATCCCAGTCCTTATGTGCTTCCCCGTTCCCATCCCATTCTCTTACTTCTCTCTCTATCACGCCCTCACCCACCCTCTTCGTCCGTGTTCTGCTCCCCCTTTCCCCCCAACCTCCTTTTTCTCCCTTCCACTGCGAGGGCAGGCATGGGCTTTCCAATCTTCAGGGACGGCGTCACCACGTCGTCGCCGCTGGAGGAGAGGCGAGCGGCGCTGGTGGGGCTGATAGCGGCGTCCATCGACTTCAAGAGCCTCGCCGCCTTCATCATTAGCGAAGTGCTCCGCCAAGGTGCCCCCTGCTCCTCCCCTCCGCCAAGGTGCATTGCTGCTCCCCTCAGATGCTTGCTGCAGAGTGTAGTTCACATAAACAATCATACCTCCATGTTCAAACAAAAAAAAAAAAGAGTTTTTCCCCCTTCCGCTGGTGCAGGCGCGGACTATTCTCTGGAGGTGTATGACGTCACCCCCACGGATTTCCTCCCCAACTCCTCCACCCCGCTGGGCCCGCGCCTGCTGTACGGGGTGGGCGACTTGCCTCAAGGCGACCCCATGCAAGTGGCCAAGCTCATTCCGCCTTCCAACCAAACCATGCTGCAGCCACACCGCCACAAGTCCGTGCAGCAGATCAACCTCACCGACACATCAAGATCGTACCAGCTCTGGTGCCGGTAAGTTTCCCTGAGGAGTAGTTTATTGATCCGCTTGTCCCTTCCGTCTTGTCTTCCCCCCCCCCCCCCCCCCCCTTCCACCTAAGTTGGACTTCACAACGAGTGCCCTTGGCGTCGTCAAGCGTAACAAACTCGTGTGTCAAAACGTGAGACGCTCTACTTAAACCTGGGTGTTTTGAGATAAATATTGGCTCACGCAACAGAAATTATTTGTTTGCACATACGAGCTCTAGACCCCAAATCTTGAATGCTTGGTCTGACCTGTGCTCACACCTAATCCCAACCCAACCTCTGTCAATATCAGCTTCGACATAAGTCAGATTCTTGCCATTGTGAAGTTGCTTATCTAGTTGTGCAAGTCCTGAACATAGAGATTTAGATTTCCACTGCCTAGACTTTCCGAATTTGTCGAATGATCAGCCCATTCCCCTAGTTTGTTTGCCTGCCTGGATTTTTTTTGCCTGCCCGCTTAGCGGTTTTCTAGTGTCTATGGTTTCTGGAATCTGACGTCCAGCGTTTTGACACTGGCAACCGAGACGTTGGACACGCCGATTACAACATATTCCTCTGCCACATCACATCACATCACATCACATCACATCACATCACATCACATCAATATCCTCCATTCCTCACCCATGCACTCCTCCGCTCTCAGCTTTAGCGGCGCGGACGCGGTCGTCAGCTGGACAACCGTGCTGTTGGCGGTGGTGATCGTGGTGGTGGCGGCGCTGCTGGCGGCTATTGGAGTGAGTGTGGCGTGCAACACACGCGGCGTGCGGGAGAAGGTGGCGGCGCTGGCGATGCTCAAGGAGAGAACGCAGGCGGCGGAGCGCAACAAGAGTGCCTTCATCGCCAACACGGCGCATGAGCTGCGCACCCCCATCATCGGCCTCAAGGGTGCGTGGGTAGGAACGGGCCGAGTGGTGCGAGTGGTTTCTGGAAGGGCACAGGGCGAAGTATGTGTTATTGATGCCAGCAATGGGCACAACCCTTTCTGAGCAATTTCCAACTATGCAAGGTCTACCACCTGCTATGCAAGGAGTCAATGTCCAAAGGCAAATTGTTTGTCTAACTCAATGCTTCACGGGCGGTGTTGAGAGTACTACTTACAGTGCTGATAAGCAAGACGCATTGTGAGTTACCACATTCAGTGCATGCTCTTTCGATGCTTGCACTTTCTTATGTGTGTGACTCATAACCACATACCTGTATTGATACAATGCAAGTATGGCGCATGATAGACGTCATGCGTGCTGCCTAACTCATCATCAATATTCGTGAAAGTGAGGCCAAGACACAGTAAAAGCAGAATGGGTACCTCTCAGAGCCTACGTCAACGAGGTTGAGTTGACTGGTGCTCTTATTGCTGATTCCAATGGCGGTCCACCGTACCGTAGCAATGAACAGACACGGGCACATTTGCACATGCAGAGAGACACACGTATGAAAGTGCAAGCATGGAAGGAGCATGCACTGAATATGCTCACTTAAAATGCGTCCTGCTTATCAACACTGTGAGTGCTCTCAATATAGCCCGCGAAGTATTAAGTTTGACTACATTTCCGCATTGGTACATTGAAGCTTCTCAAAAAAGACATTATCATCGGCCTCAAGGGTACGTGGGCAAGAATTGGTCGAGTGGGGCGAATGGTTGTTGCAAGGCACAAAACATGTGTCGATGTATACATGGGCAGCGAGGGTAGGGTTTTTACTCTACTCGTTTGAAATGCTCGTTTTGTTGAGTGACGAGCCTGTTTTTTTGGGAAAAGAACTCGGCCGAGGCGAGGCAAGTTTTACTCGCCGAGTCTTTTAAACTCGTCGCATGCTCGCCTTGGGCGACGAGCATTTTCGTGGAAATTTTGTGCTCGACGAGCTTTTTTAACTCGCGGGCGATTTCGCCCGTCAATCCGCGGGGATCGGCGATTTCGCTCGTCAATCCGCAGGGTTCGGCAATTCGCCACTGGTCGTGTAAATCACTACGCTCAAATTTTTTTTTTGGTTGAGAAAAACCAATATGCCTTTTCCAACAAAATTGCTACTCGATTTCCCAACCAATTCGCCACCACTTACCTCTCTTCACTGCACTGAATCTACACAACCCAACCACCAGATCCAGATTCAAGATTCAGATTCAGATCTCGCCACTTCAGAAAGTCACATCGTTCCTTGCACCGCCGGCCTATGGCCCATCGCACAACCCCCTTCCCTCCCCCCGCTAGTCTACTCCGATATTCCCTACTTAGCTAGCTGGACACGTCCGTGGTAACCTTGTGTTTGCGAGTGGCGAGTCGAGCATTTCTTGTGCTCGGACGAGTTTCCCCCTAAACTTGCCCGAGCATGCCCAAAAACGACGAGTCACGAGTATGCAAAATGTTGAAAATAGCTCGTCAGAGTTTTGCTCACTCGGGGCAAAAGCTCGTCGAGCAAGACCATGGACGTGTCGAGTTTTGCTCGACTCGTCACTTTGACCATGTATAGGTATGATCAAATGGCCCGACCCGACCCGACCCGACCCGACCCGACTTGGGCGGGCCAGCCGGGTTCCGGGTCTGGTCGGGTCGGGGTTTGAGATCTCTGGCCCGACCCGGGTATCGGGTGCCGGGTCAGGCTTGACCCGCCCCCGGGTCGGGTCGGGTCGGGCCGACTCCCATAGGATGGTTGGCGCGAAGTGTGAATAACTTATAAAAACACGATTGGCTGAGTACTAATTAAACATTATCGTAGGTTATAGGGTAAATTAGTACGCCAATGTTGCTTGGTGGGTGGCTGCTGGCGTCACTAGCTAGTTAATCTAACTTAATCCAGATCGAAATGCTAGTCGCTGGGAAAACAAGCAAGCGCGATTGCGATCTGGATAACATTGTCGAGAGGAAACCCTCGGGTCGGGCCAGATACCCTACCTGAAATAGGGCGTGGTACCCGAAACCGGGTCGAGTCCATAATCGGGTCAAAACCCGATCCGACCCGACCCGACCCGGAATCGGGTCACGAGTCGACCCGACCCGGCCGGGTCAGCGTTTCAGAACTCCTGACCCGACCCGCCGGGTCCCTATGCTCATCCCTAAGCATGTATATGTGGATGGTTGACGGGATCATGTATCTCATCGCACTTGCCCCTAGGCCCACCCTCCTTGCCAGTCGTATCATTCAAGCAGCAGGGTTTTTAAAGAAAGGAGTCTCACTATCTTGGCACAGACGAAGGGATGGCTGGTGTGGTGCGGTGCGGTGTATGCACGTGCAAAGCAAAGACTCATAGTACGGTGTGGTGTGGTGCCTGTGACTATTTTCAGGGTAACCACGGAATGGATGAAGTACTGTTGTGCCCTCATCCCCCCCCCCTGTCCCGGCAGGCATGTTGGAGGAGCTGGCGGAGGGGGAGGTGGACGGGCGGCAGAGGGAGGACGTGGGGACGGCGGTGGGCGAGGTGGAGCGCATCGTGGCGCTCATCAACGTCGTGCTTGACGTCTCCAAGGCCGAGGCCGGCCGCCTCCACATGGAGCACCTGCCCTTCCACACGCGCTCCTGGCTCAGGGACGCGCTGCACTCCCATGCCTGCGCCGCCCACGCGCGCAACCTCAACTGTAATCATCTTCCTCTCATCCCTTTTCGATTCCTTCCAGCTATGCCCCTTCCAGCTATGCCCCTTCCAGATATGCCCCTTGCTCTGGTGCTAGAAAGCAATTTATTATGCGTCTCTCAAGCAAGCGTTGTGTGTTTCTTGTTGTAACCTCTGTCCTAATCGTTTGTGCTTGTGCCTGTGCCCAGTCACATGCCGTGTGGATACGAGTGTGCCCGAGGTGCTGGAGGGGGACTACATGCGCCTGCAGCAAGTGGTGGACAGCATTGTTGGTGAGCCACCACGGCTGAACAGGGTGTTGTGTGCATCGCCGCTTGATGAACATGAACCTTCATCACGTGGTAGACTTCTCTTCTTACCTTCCTATCACACAACTTTGGACCCCTTGTTGCGTTTTTTCTTCCTCCTATTACCAATGCTACCCACTGCAGACAACGCCATCAAGTTCACGGCCAGTGGAAGCGTGTGTGTGCGGCTGCAGTGCCTTCCCCCCGACACCCACATTCCCACCCACCTGCTCTCCCTCGGCTGCCTCGTCGCCGAACCCACCCGCGGCTGCTCCTCGCCCGCTGCTGCTGCTGATGCTGCAAGTGTGGAGCAGGCAGCAGGGCCTTTCTCATGGAGGGAGCAGGTGGAGCAGCGCGGGCTGCTGTGGGCCGTGATGGGCAACTGGCAACCGCCGCTGCGCCATCAGCTGTCCTCACTCAGCGCCCGCTTCTCCATGAGCCCCTGGCGCATCCCTCTGGGGGAAGGGGGGGGCCGGGGGGAGGGGGAGGGGGAGGGGGAGGGGGAGGGGGAGGGGGAGGGGGAGGGGGAGGGGAAGGGGGAGGAGGGTGCGGAGCAAGGGGAGGAAGGGTGTATTGCTGCAGAACACGAGTGCAGGGAAGGTGAGGGGGCTGCGGAGCAAGGGAGAGGTGAGGGCGCGGGTGCAGCAGTGCGGGCAGTAGGTGGAAGGGGTACGACAGGGGGATCATGTGGTGTGCAGCAAGGAGGAGGGGAGAGTGGTGGGAGGGAGAAAGAAGGGGAGGGTGGCGCTGGTTGGAGAGGAGGTGGGGGGGCTTCGTTGATGCATGGCAGAGAGGAGAGAGGTGTTGACTTGAATAGAGCGGACCCATGTGCTGCTGCCGGTGCAGGGGATGCACGTGAGGGGGGTGCGCGTGAGGGGGAGACAAGTGGGAGGAGAGATTGTGGGGTAGGTGGCACATGTGAAGCAGGGAGTGTAGCAGCAGCAGGTGGCAGTGGCGGCAGGGGCACATGGAGGGATGCAGTGAGGAGCTGGTGGCAGGGGCCTGTTGAAGAGGAGAGCCCGGTGCTGCTGGGGGATGCTGAGAGGCGGTGTGTGGTGCTGGTGACATGTGAGGACACGGGGTGTGGCATCGCAGAGGAGGAGCAGCGCGATGTGTTTCAGGCGTTCATGCAGGTGAGTCGTTACAAAGTGGTCCAGTTCGTTGCAAATGGCCCACCAGTCCGGTTCGTCATGGGCCGAACTAGGGTCCGTTTTTGCCAACTTGCCCCGTGGGCCAAGTTGGTTGCCAGTGTTGATGTGTTGGGCAGCACATTGAAGCTGGCTGCCACTGCATGTGGTGTTTGTGGCTTGAACCACCCTCCCGAAATTAGGTGGGCCTACACTGGAGGATGCAAGCAAACCCTTGACGTGCACAGCTGTCGCCATGCATGCATCATCCACTACTGCCCCGTCAATAGTGTGCCGCGCCTCCTTCCAACACACCAACCCCCAACAGGCACACCAGAAAAGACACGCGCATGGCGGCAGCGGCATGAGCCTTCACTTGTCTCGCCAGCTGGTAAGTGGAGTCTGGTGAGTCTGTTTCAAAGCTGGTGAGTTTGTTTCAAAGCTGGTGAGTCTGGTTGTTCAGGATCCACTGATGGAGTAGAGGGGACATGGACGGGCAGAATTGTGAACTGTTTAAGGTCCTAGAGGTGCAGAATGACAGGTTCTGGGCGGTGAAGGTGGAGAAACGCAAGATGCTTTGATTCCCTTCTCCCTTACCTTCCCTTTTCCCTCTTTCCATGCTTTTTTTTTTTTTTTTTTTGTATCCTTCATCAACTGTTGCATCCCAAGCGTGTCCCTCGTGCAAAGCTCAGTTTGTCTGCTTCGTCTACCCCCTCCGCTGTCGCAGGTGTCCCTCTTAGGCGGCAGCATGGGTCTGATCAGCACAGAGGGCCTCGGCACCACTCTGCATGTCGCTGTGCCCCTTGCTGCTACAGCATCTCCTCCACCTCCTGCTACTTCCCCTGCTGCTTCCCCTGCTGCTCATCCCACCACTTACTCTGCCCCATCTGCTGCTGGTAGTGGTGCTGACGTGGGGGGCGAGCGCAGCCCCGTTGCGAGAGTGGGCAACAGAAGCTTGAGTGCGAGCGAGGGGCTGGGATGTAGAAAGGCGGAGGGCACAAGCGTGGTGGAGAGGGCGGGTGAGAAGGTGGTGAGCGCCAAGGACGCTCTTAAGGAGCTGCTTCACGGCATGGCTATCCTGGTAAGATGCGAGCAATGGCTGTCCTGGTGAAATGCAATGAAGGGCACATTGTGTACCTACACTCGTATCCCCTCTCCCTCTCCCTTGTATCCCCTCTCTTATCCCCTCTCCCTCTCCCGCACCTTCTATTCCTTGTCACCCCCTCTCCAACCTCCACTCTTCTCTGCCTCTATCCACCAGGTGGTGGACCACAACGTCATCGACCGTCCATCCTTTCTCATCCCGCTGCAACCCCCCTGCATGCCCCTCCCTGCATGCCCCTCCGTGCATGCCCCTCCCTGCATGCCCCTCCCTGCATGCCCCTCCATGCATGCCCCTCCGTGCATGCCCCTCCCTGCATGCCCCTCCGTGCATGCCCCTCCGTGCATGCCCCTCCCTGCATGCCCCTCCGTGCATGCCCCTCCCTGCATGCCCCTCCCTCAACCAGGTAGTGGACGACAACGTGATCAGCCGTCTCTCCGTTCTCATACCCCCCGTATCTTCTCCTTGCAACTCCCCGCACTGCCAGGTGGTGGACGACAATGCCATCCCCGTGCCTCCATGCTCATACCATCCGGACCCCCCTTATACATCCTCGCACTGCCAGGTGGTGGACGACAACTTGATCAACCATTCTCAACCCTCCGCGCCCCTTTATACCCCCTGTGCTGCACCAGGTGGTGGACGACAATTTGATCAACCGGCGGGTGGCAGCGAGCACGCTGGCGCGGTATGGGGCGGAGGTGGCGCTGGCAGAGTCGGGCGAGGCGGCGCTGCGCCTGCTGCAGGCAACCCACTCCTTCCGCCTCGTGCTCATGGACCTCCTCATGCCCGGCCTCGATGGTTTCCAGACCACCGCCCGCCTGCGCGCCCACGAGGCCGCCACTCAGATGGCTCGGGAAGAACAGGGAGAACAGGGGTTGCAGCGCATGCCAGTGGTGGTGGAGAGTGGGGCAGAGGGCAGGGACGGGGAGGGGGGATGGCAGCCGCAGCAGCGCGTTCATGTGGTGGCCATGTCAGCAGATTTGGACAGTGCTGTTGCTGCCCTTGCCGCAGAGGCTGGCATGGATGGAGCCGTGCAGAAGCCTCTCAATGAGAGAGTGCTGCTGCAGGTGCTCTCAACACTGTTTGTGAAGAGACGGAGGTACAGAACCCACTCGATGTACTAACACTGTTAATCCATGAATGTAACCATCCACCCCCTCACCCCCCCCTTCCCCCAAGACGGGAATATGCACCACTACATCTAGTGTCAGAATAGCATAGCGGAATGGTGTGAGTGAAGTAAGCAGGAACGAGATACAAGTAGTCAACCTGAAAAGGGTTGTACTCTCTACAATGCACCTAAGTGTAGCCTAACAAGCTAACAAGCATATACACCCTCGTAGGCTAGGTGAGGGGCATCGCACAAGCAAGAGAAACAACTCAAGGGAAACAACTCAAGGAGGCTTAGCAAGTCCAATCATTGAGACATGAGGTCACAAGACCAGTCAACAATGGCAACTAAGCATGCAGCTCAAAGTGGTACAACTAGCCAGCCATAGTGACAAACAGCCTCAAGGCCAGTTCAAGGGTTCTCCAAGGTGGAAGAAACAAAGAAGGAAGCACTAGGCCAACAAAGGCAATGCTACACTAAAGAAGGTGCTGTGCGAACAGAGCCAAACACGGAGCAGAACTTTTGGTGGTCACCAAGCGGGAGAGCCTTGGTGAAGATGTCCGCTGTGTCGGCCGCTGAGGCCACAAAAACCAATCGAGCCTGGCCGCATTGCTGCAGCTCTCGCAGTAGGATGTACCGCAGGTCAATATGCTCAACTCTGCCCTCTAGTCGGGAGCTTCGACAAAGGAGGATCATAGCATTGTTGTTAGTGATCAAGGTCGGGCAGAGCTATGTCCCTCACCTAAGTCAGCCTGTGGAGCTTTTGTACAGCCATGGAACTGGCTTAGGTCTCAGCACTAGATGAGGCAATCGACAACGATCGAGTAGGCCTCCAAGAAATAGCACAAGAGCCGAGGCTGAAACAGTAGACATAAGAAGACCTGTAGGTCTCGAGGTCGTCATGCCCACCATTCGTAAGTATGCCTGGTAAGTCGCACAAATGTATCGGCCAGATACTTCGCTACCCTCTTACCGGCCATCCAGTGAACATAACGGTGTCGCCCAGTCGCAACAAAACGAGCCAAGATGCTGAGAGGATAGGCGAGGTCCGTACGAGTCCAGGTCGCCAGGTATATGAAGCAACCCACAAGCTCTGCATACGGACAACTAGGGTCAACAAGCTCGACAAGAGCAGGAGCAGTGAGGCAGTAGTCAATAGCAAGTGAAGCTAGGAGGATGGTGAAGCCATGACTCCTCGCGTAGGCTGCTCTGAAGGAAGGCCGTGGAAAATTCTAGCGAGTGCAGCTCGTAGACTCGCTCTGCTGCAACATGTAGCAGTACCCAACGAGTAGACATCTTTGGGTCGGGGGAGAAGGTATGAAAGAAGTCTACTCTCTCGAGCCGACTAAAGCCTCTCGACACGTAGCACGCCTTGAAGGCAGGCGAAGATCTATGTGGCCGCTTCACCTTTAAGATCCACATGCCATTGATTACGTTCGCTTAGGGATGGAAAAATGCATTGACGTACGTGCACATGGACCTCCTAGATGCCATCTTTGCATCTATGGCTGCTATTTATGGAGAGGCCCACTGTCTTGAAACTACCTCAGTGGAAGTACAAGGAGGCGAAATGTCTAGAGCGACAGGGTCTCCCCCAGGGGCCAGCAACATGGCACAGAGTTGGGGAGAAGCGACCGCAAGGAACTCCAGCTCAAACTGTCCGTCCTCTATAACTTCAAAGCCGAGGCAAACTCACCTCGGCGGACATAGGATGGGTACGAGAAGCAAGCAGGTGGTGTAGTCAAGATGGCGGGTGGCTGCAATGTGAGTGACTACGACAACAATAGCGTACATCGAGGACATAGAGGCAGTAGGATACGTGACAAGAAAGGGCGATTATCAAGGTAGCAGTCAGTGAGAGGCTCTACGGAAATAGTGAGAGCCGACGAAGGAGGAACCGGGAGGACAGGAAGAGAATCTATACGAGGAGGGAGAGTACAAAGGAACAAAGAATGGAGGTTTTGAACAGGAGACGAGCACCCGGAGGATGACGAGTAGTCTCATGGGACTCAACAATAGGAGGAGACAACCGTGACCGAGGAGGAGACAAAGCCGGAGATGAGTCAGGAGGAGGAAACGTGGGACCCTAGACAGAAGGAGACGGCGAGCGGTCTGGAGAAGGGGAAGGAAATCCAAGGGTATGAAGTCCACTCACAAACGGCGTCGGCCGCATCTGCAGTGCTGCTACGGCGGCGGCTGCTGCTGCCGCTGCAACTGCTGTAGCTGCTGCTAGTGCTACTGCTGCTATTGCTGCTACTGCTGTAGATGCTGAAACCTCGTCAAGTAACAGTGGACGAGCGCGGGCTGCAGGGGCGAGCCCGGCTGCAGGGGCTAGTGCGGGCTGCAGGGGCGAGCGCAGGCTGCAGGGGCGAGCGCGAGCTGCAGGGGCGAGCGCGGCTACAGGGGCCAACGTGGGCTGCAAGGGTGAGCACTAGCTGCAGGGGCGAGCGTGGCTGCAAGGGCAAGCGCTGGCTATAGGGGCGAGTGCGGCTGTGGGGGCGAGCTTGGGCTGCAGGGGCGAGCGCGGCTGCAGGGGCAAACGCGGGCTGCAGGGGCGAGCGCGGGCTGTAGGGGCGAGCGCGGCTGTAGGGGCAACCCGGGCAGTAGGACGCGCGGAGCACGTGCAACTGAGCGCGCGGGCAGGTCGCGGACAGCACGGGCAGGGTAGCGCAAGGGCGCTTTGGGCAGGAACGAGCAGACCTATTGGTGGGCCAAAAAAAAAATAACCTTACAGGTTTCCTGCTCTGAAACCATGTCAGAATAATCTGTGCACGAATGATAGAACTACCAAGGGTTGGGATACAAGTACTAATCGTAGTAATGCTCTACTCTATAAGGTGTGCCCCACTATAGCCTAACATGCAGAATTGTAATTTGACATATAGCTAACCCTAACCCAACGCAGGACAAAGTGTGAAACACCTGAACTAAGCAGCTTTTACCTGCACCTTCCTTGCTTGTACCTCTTACACAAATTAATGAAGGACTGTTTGAGACAGAACTAAGCTCGTCCAACCTAGCAATCAGCGACAAGACCCTCCACGATGTATTGATCCGCTCCCTCGATGGAGTAGGAGAGGGGCTGTCAGGCATATGCTTTGAACATCTGCGAGAGCCAGCCCTCGCTAGCAAAGAAGTGCTTATTATTTTGCTCTAGGCCATTAACCACCTGTTTAACTCGACGGTAGCCACGAGAGTGAGGGATATCCTCCTCCCCTCGCACTTAATTGCTATGTCAAAGCCGTACGGAGGGGTTCGCCCAATTGCAAAAGGGGAAACGATACTGCGTAGCTGGTGAGGTGGTGTTGAGAACAATTGGCACGAAGATCTGCGAATTCTTTGTTCCCATCCAAATCGGGGTAGTAGTCCAGGGCGGGTCGGAGTTTACCATCCACTCGGTCCGCGCCCTACGCCAGCTACACTCGACGAACATGATCTTCTGCTAGACATTGAAAATGCGTTTCACTTTGTACATCGAATTAGTTTCTTCGACGCGTTGAGATGGTCAGAGATCCATGAGCTGCTCCTGTTCGTCTTGACGATCTATGGGTCGCCGTCACTGGTGCTGCTCAACGCAAGCCTAGGAGGGCAGTCCATCACTAGCAATCGCGGGGTCCGCCAAGGGGACCCACCTGGACCAATCCTATTTGCAGCGGCAATCCAGCCATCCCTGATTCGGACAACGACCAACCACACCGAGGTTACGCTTCTAGCCTACGCAGATGACATCATGCTGACTGACCCCTCGGAAGCCGCATCTCGCGGGTTCTCATTCCAGTGCGGGTTACGCTGCAATGTGGCGAAGTCATGTTACTAGAATGCAGATGCAATTTTGGACAGGCTATTCCAGACGGAGCTGCCACAGGTCTGATCAGGCGTAGGAGTCCTTAGTAGCTCTGTAGGCACAGCGGAGTTATCGAAAAAATTCCTACAGTGCCAGCTCTAAGAGGCAGCGGAACCTCTACCTCACCTCTCTCAGTTGAACCCACAACACTTGCTCTTACTGATAAGTCGCTGCATCTGTAAGAGGGCGTCCTACCTCCTCCGCACAACACCAACAGGGTCCATTAGCATAGCCACATGGCAGGATTGCAGCGAAGGGCTTCTACGAGTGGCTCTTGCGGCGGCGGGAATAAATTGGCCGAGGCATGAACTTTACCAGAGCCTGCTGTGGCGGCAAGCTACCCTACTCATCGGCCTTGGGCGGCATGATAGACCCACTATCTGAAGAACCACCGGCTTTCCTCCCATCTACCATCGCGGAAACCGAACTACTTCCCTCACTACCACTGGCACCAACACGCCCACTAAGAGCGGTGGCTGCTGCGTCAGGTGCCAACCCACTGTCGCCGCTCGAGGATACCCTATATGACATGGAGGGGAGACTTCCATAGGAGGGTAGGCAACTGCTAAGTGACCGTGCTCCAACCCCCACCCAAGACACTTACAGTTGGCCTTCTCATGTGCCATCAACAAGGCACGAACCCTTGATTTCCTGGACGAGACTTTCATCGATCGTTCAGGGACAGACAATGGTCACCGCATCCGCCTGGGCAGCCGAAGAGGAACAGGGGCGGGGGATTGGTGGCATGTAACCCCGACCAGACCAGACCCCACACTATCCCCAGGCTATTTCTCGATAGTGCTGGCCTTCCGTATGGGGGGCTGCCTTGGGAGGTGGTTGGGAAGTGTCCGTGCAATGGAGAACGGTTGGAGATAACCGACCCAAGCCTCCTGAACCGCATGCTGCGCTGCGGGACAAGAGGGGATCGGATACAAATCCACAACGCTGGTCTACTGCTGCATCCGTATGGCTAGAGAGGTGGGGTACACGTTGTCTGGCGGGACAACGACATCCACAGTCCCCACAAACGTCATCATGACAGACCTCACTCTTTAGGGACCAGGCATTCCCCACAAACTTCATCATGGCAGACTCCTCTTTTAGGGACCAGGAGCCAGGAGGGACCTAGATCCGCGACGTCACCTTTACCAACCCGGTACCACTTCGCC